GTGGAAGTGGTGGTGGACTAATAGGTGGTGGCGGTGGATCTATGAATCCTGGAGGTGGTGGGGGCGGTAGAGGAGGACGTGGGGGTGGGCATTATGCACCAAACAGTCCACCGACAGGATCCCTGCCACCATTCTACGAATCACTGAAGGGTGGGGGACTAGGAGGTAATGTGGGTGGTGGAGGATTTAACAATGGACAACAATATTTGAATGGTGTTGGTGTTGGGGGCGGCAGTTATGGCATGATGCAGCTGCCTATGGACTCTGACACCGGGCAGGGACAAGAAGGAGGTGGACTAGGGTATATCGGGAATGGATCAGCGAGTGCAAAGCAATATTCGCTGCTACAGAATGTAGGGGCCTCGTACGGTCTCATCACGGTCAAGGACGATGAAGACGATACAATTCTTGGCTCAGCCACTAGCTACGGCCAGTACGAAGACTCGATGCTCGTTGACATTGCGACGGGGGCAGTTGTGGACCCACTGCAGTTCACAGCCACCCTCACCTTCTCGAGCCCCGCGGACCAACACGCTCTACTCGAGAGTCTTTCCCCAGATGATCTTTTCTTCCAGCGTATGTCATCAGGGTCTCCTGATGGATCAGATCTGCTATCAGAAGCTACAGGCAGCCTCAACTCAACCATACCAGGTCCTATCGAGCCTGTGGTAGATCCATTTCCTGAGCACAACGCACTGGGACTGACGCAAAGAAGCAGCTACAATGACACGTCACGAAACTTTGCTGCACCAACACACTTTACAAAGAACACAATGTTCCTCAGCAACAACAACAATTCTGACTCCGGGAGTGGCACAGGCAGCTTCCACAATCTTCCCAAGGAGCGGCCCGAGTTGGCTCTGCACATCTCTTCATCTGGAAATGGGCAGCAGCAGCAGCAGCAGCCGATGCAACAACTACAGGTCTGTATGATGCAAAGTGCACCACTTGAATCTTCAGCATTTTGTATTCATGGTTTTTATGTGATTCTCATAATAAACAGTAATGTCATTGGTTGGCAATAATCAACTGACCTTTGTAATGGCGAAGAAGAGTTGTGGGTTCTTTTGTGGTACAACCTGAATGTTTAATTTGCTCAGACAAGCTCCTGCCTGAAGTATTTTCACTGTAATGCCTTACACATAACAATATTTACCCAAACAGGTACAAGTGCAGATGCAGATGCAGTCTCAACAGCAGCAGTCGCAACAGCAGCAGGGATTACTGTCTCCCGAGTTGAACTTTGCCGACCTTGACTCTCCAACCATGTCCCTCCCTTCTCCTGGCTGCAGCCTGGATGGAACAACAGGTTCCTTGTCTCCTCCTTCCAGCGTCGGTGGGCGCAGAGATTCAACGGGAGGTTCTGCAACGGCGACAGACATCACCAGCATCCCATCACTGCAGGTCCGAGTCAACGTTCTGCAACAGAGGGTGAGTGGCACTCAACTTGTACAGGCCACAGCTACACGAGTAGCACGCTACAGCTACAGACATATTGCGCATTCCAAAAAGAGATTACGCGGCTCTGTCATGTGGTTATGCGGCAACACTTGTCAACTGATTCGATTAAAAAGCATCGAATAATGATAGCGAATCGTGATACAGAAAGGTCAAAATTAAATTAATGAGGAATATTTTAACATGCTATCCCAATGGTTGCCTGGAGTCAATGAGGAAAACCACAAGACTTCTGTCAGAATAACCAATCTCTGTGCCACAATTCAGACCCAAGACTTTCTATAAACAAAGCAGGAAATCCAACCAGAAATTTAGTATTCCATGGAGATACTTCCAGTCAGTGTAAAATAGGGATACCAATGCTGCTAGAAGCAGTCAAGAAATTGGTATTACAGCCATATGTCCCCAGAAAATGAAAACAATTCCAACAAGCAATTCTGAAAATATACCAATGACAATTGTAGCTCATTGTACATCTGGACTTTCATTTACAATACACTTATCTCTCATAATGAGATCATGGTCCAACATGGTGAAATACAGCGAAAGCCTCAGTACACTTCCCCCACCACACGCTGTGCCAGTTCAAATTGAATGCTAACACTTTCCAGCTCTGTTATTTTATAAATAGAAATGTTTTAATGTTCATGTCTTACTAAAACTGATACTTATAGATCGTTAACAATTAGTACTACTAACCCTCAAATTAACACCCAGTATAATTTCCTCCAAAAAAAACTAAAAACTTATTTTCCTGACTTATAATTTATCATTATTTAAAAGAACTCCATTAGAAAGTGGCCAACATAAAAATGGCATTATTAATGCATATTCAACAATCTATCCTAATTGGCAGAAGATATAAGTAAATTTAAATAGTATTACATTTATAACAAACTCCAACATTTGTACCATATAATGAATCCTCTTTATTTGATCTTTTCTAAAACATGTACAGAATAATCTGATCTGTTAATAAGTAGCTGTTTAATTATGTAACATGTCCAGAGAATGTAGAGCGAATCATTAATATTAACGTGTGGAATTCTCGATCTGATTATTTTCTTTCCATGCCCTACGACTTACAGACAAGTTTTTGTTTGTATGTTGGCAGCTTGGTTTGCCAGGAGATGTTGCTTTGGAATTTGTCAATGGGGGGCATGGGATCAAGAACCCCCTTGCAAGCCACGAGCCAATCCCTCGTGGAGGCGGCAGTAGCGGTAGCAATGTGACTGCAGAAACAGACGCAAAGCCCGCGGCAGCGAGTCAGCAGGCAAACGGAGGTCCTGATGATCCAGTAAAATATTCCTGCAGAATGTGTTCCAAGACCTTTGGCCTCCAGCGCTTACTGAACAGGCACATGAAGTGCCACAGCGACATCAAGCGCTATCTATGCACCTTCTGTGGCAAGGGATTCAATGACACATTTGACCTCAAACGGCACACACGCACACATACGGGTCAGTACATATTATTAAATTAATTGAATTGAATAATTTACCTAGCTTACTACAGTTACTGGGGGAATACCCAGCCAACTCTTGTCATTAACACCATTCACAAAGACCAAATTTCAAGTTATGGTCAGTAAACCAGAACTATTATGCTCTGCAAACATTTCCTAATTTGTTTCATCACAATACCAAATGCTGCTATCCTTCATGCACAAGCCAGGGGAAATGACCACAGAGCAGAAATACGATGGTGATGAGGAAGTAGCCACGGCCAAATATAAATCTTCAAACTGGTGACAGCACATGTTCCAATAGGCAATGCGTACTGATGCATTTTACAGATACACAAAATAAACAGCACCGCATGCCTAACCAACCTATTTTGGCTCATACTCGGATGGTTTAATAATCTGGTATTTTCCAAGACAAAGATAGAAACCAGAAACTTCATCAGAATTTAGAACCTGTGAGTGCAATCATACACGTAGTCCCCACAGAAAACAGCTTATAAGATCAACGCTTAAATCTGTCAAAATTCAAACGATCGCCCAGACATTTTCACTTGTAAATACAGCTTTATGTGTGTTACCAACCTGGCATGTGGCAAGTTAATTCTTATGGCCAATAAGAGTCTGCAGAACGCAGCAATATTTTTGATAACATTGTATGATTGTTAAATTAATTAACACTCATCACGGGTTTGAACCCGCGAACCCTGGGTGCAGTGGCGACATTTATAAACTCATAGCAAATATAATTACGGGACTACCTTATGAGTGACGAAACAAGATGGAAGCTGATATTTCTGTACGATGCGTCGTTCCTAATTGGGAACTTTATTTACTTTAAAAATTGTCTGCATAAACCGAGGCTTGAAACAAAGTGATGACAAAGTACGGCTTTCGCGTAATTAGATCGAGTGCGCTGGAACTTTGTTGTATTTCCGAACTGCGTAGTCGATGCATCGTTGCTTCTGTGTGTCCTCTCGACCGCCCATGTATCGACGAGGATCGATATTCCCTCTGAAGCTTATCGTACTGGAACTAAATGTTAATGTGATCAGTAGAAAACTGAAACTTGCCTGCCATATTTAGTTTGTTGGGGACAAAGAGACAATACTAAGCACGCTTTAAATCCTAGTTTCCAGTAATCATGTCGTTCATATGGACACTTTATCTGACTAAATTCTTCGCCACTGCTGTCTCTGTGATCGTCGTCAGTTTAAACGTTTGCATAGCCACTACATCATGATGAAGTCCTTCATGACAAGCTAATAGTCGTTTACAGGTACACGTTTCCGGTGTTAGTCTTGATTAAGTAGAATCCAGTTCACATTCTTCCGCCACATTACATTAAGATCCATTATTATTATTATTATTCAAAATTCTTCATTTTGACTATATTTTATGGTATTTAATCTTGTAAGTCTTTTCTAGTTTTTTTATTGTTTATTGTTCTTTTAGTATTAATGAATTGAATTATTATATTACTTAGGCATATTAATTAGCCCATTTTCTTTTGAATTATCCCTCAATAAAGGATTGGAATTTAATTATTATTATTACTAATATGATACACTTTTATATTTAGTTTAATTTGTTTGATTTTGTATTTGCAATGTTTTACTTTTATTATTATTGAAATGAATGTAATCATTGTATTATATTTTATCCTGTAATGTTGTTCAGTGCTTGACTGTTATTGGCCTTACCTGGCTGTTGTCAAGCACTTAAATAAATTAACTGAATTGAATTGAATTGAATAACTGCAGGTGTGCGGCCCTACAAGTGCAACTTGTGCGAAAAATCATTTACACAGCGCTGTTCGCTTGAATCTCACTGTCTAAAGGTACATGGAGTCCAGCATCAGTACGCATATAAGGAACGCCGCACGAAGGTAAGAGGAACTGCGATTAAAATCTGGTATTGCTACAGAATAAAGGTTAAACTAAATGGTATGAAAGAGTAGAAACATAATAATTGAAGCAGCATGACAAACCCCCCAGTGCCCAAAATGAAATTCTGGGTACAGTTCTGCATAAATGGAAATGAACTAATATTATTGAAAATCAATTAAAAATAAATCAACGAGAACTACAAACCTTCGAAACCAAATCATACCTAAATATTTAAAAATTGAGTTCTTACACCACACGAAACACGTGTCTCCATTAGAACGATCAACTGGTTAATGCATTTTAGAAAATAACTGTTAATATTCCAAAAAAACCCATAAATATGCTCTGTGGACAAAATTCAGAATTACTAATCACTTAAACATGTAAGACCATTTCGTCTTAAATGGCTAATACTCAGTTTTGTTGACAGATGTACGTGTGTGAAGAATGTGGGCACACAACCAACGAGCCTGAGGTACATTATATTCATCTTAAAGATAACCATCCCTACAGCCCAGCACTCCTGAAATTCTATGACAAACGGCACTTCAAATTCACCAATTCTACATTTGCCAACATGCTCTTGCAAGTGAGATCTTGAGGCGCATAATAAAAAAACAAGAGTATTCAGCTCATCAATGTGCAATGTTTGTCAATTAAAAGTAGCTACCTGTCAGCTACGCTATCGCCGACACCATCGGTACCATCATCACATTTTGCGAATATAATGGTACTGACTTTATGGTGTCCGAAACCATGGAAGATGTATATATATGAGGTGAATAGTTAACTGAAACAGTTTTTCTGCATGATATGGAATTTACTATCACAGCAAACAACTGGCAGGACATACTTACAAACTATTTACTCTAAAACTGATATGTAGAAGAGATAATGGGAAAAACATTATATTGCACACAAAGCACTTCATACTGACAACTCATACAGATGAAGACCATGACAAAAAACAGAATTTTCATATAATACAGTTGGTATAGAAGGTGGTGGATTTTTTTTACACAAGACACCTCATGGTTTCGAAGAGTTTAAAAGTGATATAATGGAGTTCCCTAAAAGTCGATTGGTTTTATGTGAATAATATAGTAAGTTTCTCTGTAAACTTTCCTGATGACTATATCATTCAGTTCTAAATACTTGTAGAGTTTGTCACTGATTTCATCAGGATGATATTTGTAGGTACCTGTGATAATATTATAAAGTTAAGTGAATTAAGCACAACTACCAAAATTCTAATTAGATTTGGGGGCTGAACATATTTTGGTGGTTGCCAACAGATAAAAGTAATGATCTAAAGGTTTCTTATTTGTAATGATATAAGGGTCCTACAAAATGCATGGGACAAGAATTTAATAGAAACAACCCCTGCTGTGCATTAGCATCTCAATATTGCAGGGGTGGGGTCTGCAGGTTTGGAGAAGGGTAATAGTGTCCAGCTATGCATGTTGAGGGTGCAGGGGTTACCCTGACAATGCATGACAACAGGGCAATATGGGGAAAGGGTGATGGAGGTCATATTAAAACATATAATAGTTAGCTTAAGATAAATTATTATCAATTAAATGTTGTGAGCGTTCATATGGAACAACCCCTAGCAATAGATTATTATTATTATTTTATTAGTATTATTATTAAACATGGCATTGAGTATATTATACACCTTACACTTGATATATGAACAGATTAGATTAACAGCTGAATTCATGTACTCAGTTTCAGTTGTTAACTGAGAATAAACATGTGAATGTAAATTGGGTAATTTGTGCAATCAACTAGCAGATGGCCAAAGGTTCATTTGTAATGCAGTTTCCATGGAAGAATTTCCCTTCACTGAATCTTACTTCTTGATGTAATGCAGTAATAATACTGTTAATATTAAGTACTGACCTAAAATACATCGCAAAAACTTGGGTGGCTAGTCGACAGGTGTTGACTCAGCAAAGGTGTTTTGTACTTTGGTTTAGCAGCTCTTCAAATAGCATGCAATTGGTCATTGTCATTGTTTGTAGAGTTAGAGGTGTATTTATTAATCACGTTACATGAAAAATGTTTCAAGGGCTACTTCTAGTAATAACGCTGCACAACTGGGCCAAATTACTGCAGTTTCATACTCAACGTAGATACACATGTTGAGTAACTTTCTGTAGTTTCAGTGCATCGTAAGTTATATGTGCATCACATTTTATCGAATCCTGATTATGGAACTACCACGTATCAGTACTCTTATTTTTAGAGTAATTCATATTAATGGCATATAAATTACATTTCAGACTGGAATTAACACATGAACTGAATTCAACAAAATGGGAATATTACATATTTTAAGAGTCGCCATTGTAAATAGAATGGAACATTTCCCAGAATGACACATGAAAGGACAAACTTTGAGAACAAACTGTATGATCAAATATATCAACTAAATTGTTCTTCACATAGCTCAGACTATAAATAATACTGTCAGTATTTACATGGTGGTCATAACTTGCATGGTTACAGGAGTTAATATGGGGATCAATGGTTTCAGATAAAACCAGAATTATTGTATACCACAAAGCTTTTAAATGAGCGGAAGTTGTTAGGAATGTAAAGAATCAGTGAAGACCACGACAGATGCAGGGTAATCAAACACAGTTCCAAGATTATTCCAGAAATAATGAAGAATGTTTATGAGAAAATAGTAAGCATTCCAGATCCATTTTGTATATCATAATTTGTGGTCTGGGCAGAAATATATCCATAAGTACAAGACCCATGAATTTGACCCTGAACTTACCAAGTATCCTCGTAGAAGGTTGCAGTGGCAAAGTTCTGGGAATTAAAATGAATACAGTATTTGCATTGAGTTTCAAATTAAAAATGTGTAATGTGTATGAAACATAAATTGCGCACAATTATGTATTAAGTTAAATAGTAAGTGGGCACACAATAATTGTAACTGTGAAAGGACTTTTTTTAATAGAATGCAAAAGCCCAATGTAAACATGGTGTATAAGAAACACGTGCCTGTGAAAATATTAAAACTTAAAACCACAGCAATATTTTACCATACCAAGAATACTAGGTCATAAACCTTGCATTTGATATTCATTATCATTTTATTATGATGGCATTTTTATCATCATCATCATTATTCAGGTACTGAATAAAGAAAACAATTAAAATAGGGACATTTGTGAAAATTTTAAACAGAGAACAAAATTAAAAATTAAAGAAAAGACAGCCTGATTGTTTTAATATTATTTTAGATCAGATCAGCATACTTCACCCTAAAGCAACCACTAAACTGTTTTAATATTACCAGCATAAGCATCAGCATGTTGCATGACTACAATGTACGTCATTTTAGTATTGCTTAGTGTCACAATGTGATCTGTAATGGTGTGAAAGAGCAGAGAAAGAAAGATATGACCATAGAAAAATAGAGGAAGGATGGTATACCACATCACTGATTGAATATCCATAGTTAACATGCAGTTTAACTTATTTAATATTATATATTTAATTGTTAACAAGCATTTATTCAGTTTTCAAATTTTTATTACTCTGCTTGTCAAAATAGGCAATGACCCATGTTTAAATCCAAACTCGCCCACCCTCAGTGTCACATTTGGAAATGTCAAGAAAGTTACTTCATAAACCAGAAATTACAACAAATAATCTTACAAATATGAAGACATAAAAATAAAAAAAATAAGCCCCATTTCTGACACCAAATACAAATTTTCTTGCCTATTCGATAACCCAAGCATAATCATTTTTTGGTATATTCAACAAATGCTTATGTACTTTAGCTAATTATAAACAGAGCAGGCCAAAATGTACAACCCTTGGGGATTTTAATCCTGATTGTGGCGATGAAAGCACCATATTTTTTTTTATAGTTTATACCAGAGCATTTACTTGTATATATATGCTGAACCAGGTACAGCTTCCAAATTAGGCAGTTGCTCCAATTCACAATAAGAACTAAGAAGCCACTCCAGATCAAAATAAATCCCTGGGGGAATGAACATCACATATAAAGGAAATCATCACAATATACATTCTGGAAATCTTTGCTATGTGTATCACTACTGGGATTGGTATTTATTACATCTTGAGCAAGTTGAACTTTAAGTAGATGGATGGATCTATCGGCATCTACACTTATCTTGAGCCCTGCTCCAAACACAGTCATACCTTAAGTCTGAAAGCACTTTTCAGTCTTCAATAAGGATTGCGGTTTTGTGTTCTACAATTTATGATACGCATGTCTGCAACATGAACTGTTTTGTGGTTTATTTTTATCTTGTTCCACATTCGTCCTGTATCTGTGGATTGATAATTAGTAAATTTATTATTTTCCCTCTTCTGAGTAGGGATGAAGGAATTAGATGGCACGTTATGACCAGCCACTCTGAAGATCAGGAGAGAGTTACAAAAGATCAGAACAGCCAATCTTGAGTACTCGCCGAAGGCGTATGATAAAATAAAACTGGGTTCCATCTTGGAAAGAATTTATACGTGAAACTAAATTTAATAATCCCTACCAGAAATAAATGACACGAGATTGGACCTAGAGATACTGGGTATCAACTCAGTGATGTCTCCCTATACTATTCACACCACAAGAATTTTGAAATTCCCATGGTCTTGACTTATTGTCCTTGCTGTATATTTTAAGTAAATGTTAAACATGGAAATGTGGTAAAACAAATATTGCAGCACTGAAGAACAACCTGCATTTCTCTCAGTGCCTGCATTATCGCCGGGAAGGCCTGGTACATTAATTCAGATTAAAAACTGATAATTTAAACTTCACCAGTTTTAAGTTGTTATAATTATTTTTTGTTACTTTGTTAAGAAGCTTGGTTTTATAATCTGACTCCCAAGTTCATGAGTGTATATATGATGATGTAATGGTGTGAAAAGCTCACTGAAACCATTCCATGTTATGGAGTTGCTTGGTGTTTCTAACAATCTAGTAACATAATATTTATAATACAATTACAAACCAGTATTCTCATCTTATTTAATAGCCCATCTCATTCTGTCTGTTTTTTCTATTTCTTCCTCAATGAATGTTTTTATTTTGACTTGCATGTATGTGTCTTGAGAATGTCAGAATGTGTGTAATATGGCTATTAAAATAAAACTATTTAAGAAAATAAATTTCCTTAATTTGCACTACCGAAATGTATTGCCTGAAGATGGAGGACATAAATGGTGAAATAAACTGTGCATGATTAGAAATCTTGTCATAACAATGAAACCACATAATTTTTGAGCACAAATACAAAATATATTATTCAATGAAAGAGAAACAAAATATTCTACTTCATCCTTTAGAAGCCAAATTTGTATCATAAACTATTTACCGTAATTTATATTTTCATCTGTGGAATGTTTTGTAATTTGTCACATAATACAAAATTCAAATTTTTTTCAATTTAAAAATTGAATACTAACCTTAAAACATAGCAATTTTCCATACTCCTATGCAGCAGTGTTTTTATAACCTTAGCAATGAGAAATCAATGTAATAATGTATTGCACAACAAAGAAGCACTTGCTGCTATTAAGCCTACAATAACTCATCATACTGGCCAACATGTCAACAGTTGCGGAAGACATTAAGTCACTTCATGTTACACAAAAGGAAAGCATTAACATGCCCAACAGCCTTTTTTAGTTATTTTATTAATATTATTATGTAAGATTTGAGGTTCTCACAGTGGTGATGACGATCGCCCTGATGATGGAGGCAGTATGACCTCTGAAACGATGGTAAACATCGACCAGGCTACACAGCGCAACAACCCAGAAATCTTCAAATTGTATTATGTGTGTCACAACTAAGTCAACACAACTTTAAAACAACGGTGAGTTAAAAACAAACCAACAAGTTTCTCAGACTCTTCCTTCCTCCGAATTCCCGCTTTATATCACACGCGCGGAGTACTACACGGCTCTGAAAAGTTACTGTGCCATGCTGCGCGCTTCTATACCTACTGAGCTGTCCAAGCCGTACACTAAATACTGCAAAGATATGTAAAGATGGCACTATGTAATATGAGGGATGTCAGTATTAACTGCACGTGTTCCTATTTGTTGATCCGTGAGGGAACGAAAGATGTAGAATTGAATGTGTTCGCATGGGTTAACATTTAGATCATAGGTTGCAAATAAAACCAAAAATGCAGAGTAGTTTAGAGTCTCGTTTAGATGCCTTGCATCAAATATCTCAGAGGAAGTTGGCAGATATCTTAACTAGAATTCCAGGAAGAAAGGATTTAATAATTGATCCTGTTCTTATGAAACCCTTGGAATGTATAACAGGAGTTTCCTTTTTAAGGTGAAATTACTAGTGCTATATTGCTTTATAATTTTTTAGCCTTATTTGTTCAACGTCAGGTACAGTCCTGTTGTAGGTTAAATATCACATAATCTATAAACATAACCTCAATGACATTTACTTTCTGTAATTGAAGTAAGTGGACAGTCGTGTGGCATAGTATTATGTAAGAAATAAAATGTGGGTCATGTGTATTAATAAATGGATGACACCTCTTCTCCAGTTGTATGTCCAAGAATCTAATGCCAATGCAGTGGTGCACTTCCTTCTTATATTTTAATTTTTACAGTGCCTCAGTTGCACTGTCAAAGACCACTCATTATGTAGTTTTTAATTAAAAGAGTAAAATTTTAAAAAGAGTGGTAAAGTAAACCTGTAAAAAAATAATTTGGATGTTAATCAAGTTGAATGTGGCATTTTATAACATACTATCCCAAACTTGCACTGATTTTTGGATTATATTTTAAACTTATACCAAAAATGCTAAAATGAGCAGTGGCAACCATGTTATAATTTATTGACTGCTTATTCATTTTCACTTCTGTTTTGTATTGCAGGTCTCTTGGTGTGGATAAAATTTTCAAACTTGAGAAGAGTGGTTTCAGCTGTGTGAACCCACAGTGGGTGTACTTAATTTATTCAGATCTTATCACAGCAAAACGTGTCTGTGATCAAATTAATGCAAATATACATCAGGATCATAAGAACAGCTATCACATAATTTTTGTTCCAAGTGACCAAGTGGCTATTCAGCAATTATTAGAAGAAGAGGGGGTTCATGGAATAGTGACAGTCCATACATTCCCTTGGGAACTAATAAGACTAGATGGTGGTGTGATGTCACATGAGCTCCCTGGTCTGTTCAGGATGTTATTTGTAGACGGAGACCGATCTATGCTTCCAGCTGTTGCACGATCCTTGTGGTCACTACAATTTTTGTTTGGAAGGATACCTTTAATTCTGTCGCAAGGAAGATTCTCCTTGCAAATTCAAAAAATGGTTGATATTTTGTTTGATGAGTTAGGGTCTCCAGACAAACCAGATTCAGAAATAAGCTGTATGTTAATAGTAGACCGAGATGTGGATTATGCGTCTGTCTTACTGACTCCTGTTACATATTCTGGCCTGCTAGATGAAGTATTTGGTATTAGCAGTGGTACAGTAGAATTAGACAGCAGAGCGGCTGGAACTCAAGATGGCACAGCAAAGAAAGTCAGTTACCAACTCAGCAGCAATGATGCGATATATAATGAGATCAAAAATAGACATTTCTCTGATGTGTTCACATTCCTTAGTAGTAAAGCCAAAGAAATACATTCTGAATATGATCGTAGTCGCAACATGGCACTACATGAGATGAAGCATTACGTAGCAACCGAGCTACAGAAATTGACTGCAATGAAGAGGTCATTGGCTTATCACATTGGTGCATGTGAGGCAATCATAGGTGAAATGGGACATCGATTTGAATCTCTTCACCAGACAGAACAGAACATTCTGGAAGGCAGGAATAAACGAGATAATTTCAATTATGCAGAGGAATGTTTTGCCACGTCTGGAAAATTATCTTCCTTGCGTCTGCTCTGCCTCTTGGCCCTAACGCAGGATGGACTTTCATTGGATGAGGCTATGGTACTTAAAACTCAATTCCTACATTGCTGTGGTTACGAACATTTGGTTACATTTCATAACTTAGAGAAGTTAGGTCTCCTTACTCGACAGAGTGCAGGAACAAACGCAGGCAGCATTCCTTATGGAGCCAATGACACTGCTGGCAAGTTAGCAGGTCGCGTGGCACAAGTAGTTTCACAGCTTCCGAAACGCGTCAGCGCATTCCAAGCATTTGCTCAAAGACTGAAACTATTTCCTGAAGTGTCCGAGGAGTACGACCTGAAACACCCAAAGGATCCAGGTTATGTATTTGGAGGATCATATGTGCCTGTTGTATGTCAACTAGTTAACCTTCTTATCAAAAAAGAATTATCACCAGAAGAAGTCTTGAAACTTGGCTCTAGCATTGGTACATCCAGTTCAGTCCAAAAAACTGCGGAATGGGACTCTTCTGCTCCCCATTCATTTCTAGTGTACTTTGTGGGTGGAGTTACCTATGCTGAGATTGCAGCTTTTCAGTTACTTGAAAAATTAACAGGTGCACGGATTCTTGTGGCTGGTACGTCCATAATTAATGGCAATAGATTTATTCAAAGCATAGTATAAAAACTGTCATATTCGTGTTTCATGATGAATCCTTTAAGTTCTAACCTGAAGGCTATGTTTTGAAGAGTCCTAAAGAAAAAAACTGCAAGCAGTAATTTTGTCCTGTTGTAATACATAAAAGGTTAAGAAATACAAAAAAAAACTCAATGGAGCAGAGACCTTCTTGGGAAGGTAACAGTACACTCAGCAACTCCTTTATGGCGAGCACGGTGAAGTACGATGTTCACAACAGCCTGTCACTGGTCCCTGTCCTGCACCAGATAATTAACACAAAAACAACAATAATGGGGTATTGGTAGTAAATCTTGCCACATCAAAAAATCTAGTTGTTCAATATTAACAGATATAAATTATAAGAAAAAATCACCTAAATAGTCGTACTATTATAGGAACTCCTCAAGAAAGACAGAGAAATTATTGTCCACATTTGTATCAATGAAACAATTTCAGTCGCCCTCTCTCTCTCTCTTTTTTCCGTATCCAGTACGCACCATTCAGCATGGTGTGCATTGGTGGTTAGCAGTATTCATGACTGATTAGTACATGGGTTCGATCGGGACCGCGACATGTAACGCTCCTGCTGTGACCCCCTTTTCGCGAAATGATGATGAAGGTAGAGTAATTGTTGGAATGCCACGGAGAAACCCTGGAGGAAAACTCCGTGATGCCTGGACCACGGCCTTGACCAACACAAGTTGTAAATCTGAGCACCGCCAGGAATCGAAACCGGGACCCCAGTATTACAAGCCCAGCGTTCTAACCGCTAGACCACCGACCACCATATCAGTCACTCTGACAATGTGTTTAGCTTGTAAGTGGAAATAAACAGGCTCAAACCCTAGCAGATATGGCTATGCTGTCAGCTTTTGTGATTCCCAAAGGAAATTCCAGTGTAATAAGTGAAAAGGGTAAGACCTTGCTGCAGTACAGGCGGTTAGTCATTGGGTTCTCATGGCAGAAGCCCAGGTTCATGCCAAGGACAGTCCATGTGGGATTTATGGCGGACAAAGAGATACTGCGACAGGTTTAGCTGATGCCCCATATTCACTCATGTATGTGGTAGATGGACAATGGGCTTGCTAGCAGCTACAGTTCCGCGCACACAGTCAATTTGCATAAAAGACTTTTATGAAGTCATTTATTTTTCATTACATGTTTCTATAATGTACAAGAATCTACCCTTAAGTTAACCACACTTTACCATTTTGTGTATTGAATCATTTCAAAAGAAAAGTTGAACAGAAATTATATATAAAGTTCTCCTACATAAAATACTTGGTATCTGCATTTAAGAACAGAAAAAAAAAAGTAATTCAAATTACAGTAATTGTAAGTAATTTATATGTATCATCCAACACTTATGTCCTGTAATAATTCAACTATCTATATCATCCTCTCTATAAATCAGGCAAACTTAAATTATTTTTAATGTTCTGCCTTAAAGTCACTGCATTATCCTATTATCTGAACTAAGTTGCATAAAATGGTATGATCTAGCAACGGACTATGTGCGTTTAAATTCCAGGGGAACAGAAAGTTAATGCAGTTCAAGACTGATGATCCCAACATTTCTTCACATAAATACACAGCGAGACCCATTAACGTCGATGTACGTAAAACTAGCAAAAACAGCACTCAGCTGACCATAGGGCTACTGATAAGCATACAAATTTAACATTTTTAACATCTTCAGTTATTCTTTAATGTATAATTAGTATAATTAATGTTCTGCTTCTGTATGTGTAGTCTACATTTGGATCCTTATCAAGGCGTGTAATTTGTAGTATCTACCTGCTCTATTCCTCACTCTGGCATATTTGCGCCCTTTATTTGGATATCCATAACTACTTATCTACATAATTATGTTGCAAAGAGTTTCATTTGGAAAATGTTCCCAAATCTTCAGGAGAATAGAAACTACATTCCTATATCCACCCTTTTTTCCTCGATGTCAGCCAAACTTTTCACAGTTTTTTTTAAACACCCCCACCATAACTATTAAATCTGAGGCTATTATGAGTAAAGAGAAGTCTTCGTGGAGAGATTCTCACACTTCAGAGAACATCAAGAACAAGAAAGAGAAAATCAGATCTATGAAGAATAATTCCAAGGAAAGAGCCCAGATCCTGAATTCAAGTAATTCTGGTCAAGATGACAAGTTATGTAAGGAATGTAATAAATATTACTACCTAGCAAATGATGAATTCAACTGAATTAAATATATATGTGAAAAGTGACTGTATGAAAATTGTATAATTTTCTTACATTACAGATGTAAGAAATATATGAAAAATACAAATAAATGTAAAAAAATTCAAATAGTGATATGGAATATTTTATTTCAGTGCAATTTTCTTAAAGAATCAACTATCTTATTTTGTTCTGATTACATATGGGTATTCATTCTGCCTGTTTGCATACTTTTGTAGTTTTGTATCTATGTGAATAAACAAAGTTAATATTTCTATAGATGAACTGAAATATTACCATGCTTATTAGAGGACTATTTGTTACATTTTAAGAACCAATACAAATAAAAGGGTGTCAACTTTGCAAATTTTAGCCTGTTCCATTAACACACACCTGAGCTGACTTACCCCTATCAAAGTTTAACTTTTGCTTCTTACCCTAACACCAATATATATTTCCTTTTATTTCATCTTGCTCCAGAGGAACAAACCATAGATTTCCCTCTGATGAGTCACGAACATGAGGCGAGACAGAGATGAATGAATGAATGAAACAGAATTACTCAGCTGCAGATAACACCAAATGATTCACAGATGATGGGTGATGCCATTTGTTTTGTTCTTCCAATTTCATCATATGATCACTTGGAGGGGCTCTTGTTGGTACTACAACACCTTTGTGTGGGTCTGTAAGAAACACAAAATGCCCACCAATTTTTAAATCAAAATAAAAGTAAATATACCTCATCATATAGATTGGTAAATATAGAATAAGTACCAAAGAAATTAAGTATTTTCATTAATTGTGAAACCCGCTCAACTGATCAAGTTTAATCTGCGTATCATAACTCACCTTTAAGAATTTTGCTGACTGCAGACAAGGACGGTGGACCCCCTGCCGCACTTCCTTGATTCCCTGACACAGATGAGGGACCTCTGTGCTCTGAAGCAGCTTTGTTGACATGCTCCTCCCACCGCCCACCACCATTTGCAATCAGTGTTTGCAGCTACAACATGCAAACTGTGAATCAAAACTTGTCTACATCTGCTGCCCCTCAGACAGTAAATGCTACAATATCCAGCCTTACAAAGGTTTCAAGCATTCCCATACCACTCGGGGCATAAAGCAGCTTCTCAGATTGCAATGTAGAAATTCTGACAGTGCTGGATAAGCGATATGCAGTAGCACTTCAAATGGTGGACAAGGTGCAACCAAGCTACCAAATATTAAAAATAAAGATACCTACTCATGATATTACAATTCAGAGAAGAATGAAAGGGAACTTGTATGAAAATACAAAGGACTATGTATTCAGAGAAGAATGAAAGGGAACTTGTAAGAAAATACAGAGGACTATGTGCCACTCAAACAGTATTGAAACAACCTTTTAATTAAATGAGCTTAAACTTACCTGTTCATCTATGGCTCTGAACTGCCATGTCCACTGTACATTATACAGGAAAGGACGGTGATCATAACGGTTGTCGTCAGGCGAATAGCTTTCAGCATGATATGCAGGAGTGAGTACTGTCATCTTGTGCCTGTTGATAGCATAACAACGGAAGAAGTGTTTCACCTTGTTGGACACTTGTTCTGGTGTGCAATCTGCACGCCATGTGTGAATCAGTTTGCAGAACATAGAGTATGGTCCACATTTGTTTTGTTTGCGAAGACGTCCAAATACTGACAACTCTGCATATGTCATGCCCATATCTTCTTCATCTGTCTGAGTGAGACGTCCACCTTCCAGAGGCTCGAGTTCAGCTGTGGGGGGTGCTCCAAGGATTTCACTCAGAATTGGCAGATTAAACCTAGAGAATCAATTCATTCAGACAAAAAGAAAAGAAGAAGATGAAATCAAATACAAACTAGTGATGATAGTAACTTATAGATTCACAGTTCTTCCATGGGTTTAAAGAAACATATCATACCATTTAAAAATTATATTTTAAATTCTTTCTTAGTTGTTTTCTCAATTTAACACATACTTGTTCTTAGCATAAAGAAGGAAGCTGCGCAGATCAGTCTTAGAAATTCCACCAATGGGATTAACATCTGCACTGGAACAGTCATACTTGGTCATGTAACCTCGTAGTGCTTCATCCACATTTGCTGACCCTAACACCAAAAGGCCTCCAGATCGGTACCGAACCCATAACATCAGTTGGGCAAACAGGTATGCCAGAACCATACGCAGCCGAGCCTGCAACAAATACTTGGTGTAACACAGTCTTTAAGACAGTGGGGGAGACACGCTGCAACTCTCAGTGTTCCCCAAATCAATCTTCTCTATTTTCTTTGAGAATTCAATTTGATTTCTTACTGTCATTCTCAAATAACTGAGCTCTTGTCAACTTTTCCTATATGTCATCTGTTTACACTGCAGTTCTGCCATGCACCAGTGTTAAGACATGAGCATAAACTTAAGTTTTCTAAGAGTTTACCCAGTGTTAAGACATGAGCATAAACTTAGTTTTCTACGAGTTTATTTCTAAACCAACTTTCTCTCTAGGTCTAACATGGTTTCCGTGTTCTAGAATTATGTGATATGTGAATACGACATTCCGTAGTTACATATACTGTACCTGAACATTCTGCAATGCAAGGCTTTCTCTAGCGCTGCCACCCCTAGAGGCAAATCTTGGAACTAATCCTGACACAGCAGTAAAGATCCCAAGAACAGCAGATACAGCCACATCAATGCTGATATTCATGTGGTAACTGTACACAAAAAATTCATATTGCAGGAATTGTAACTTTTTCAACATTACAACTATCAATGAAATAACATCTTGAATCAAGTAATCAGTAAATATTTGTTTTGAGAAATTGTACGTAATTTATTTTAATATGAATAATAACTATGCAATTAGAACACCGAAGCTACCGAACAGGTCAGGTCAAATATAAATAACTCTCATACTTGAATGTAAAATGATGTCCATCTTTACAATAATTCTTGACACGTCAAATTATTTTTTCACAATTCTGGCTCTGTAACTTGGGCAACCAAAAATATTCTCCTTTACAAACTGGTTACGATGAAGCCTGTAACTCTTTATTTTCCTGACACACAATGAAATCATCAACTGTTTGAATGTCTCTTTACTGGTTGTGATAAAAGTAAATGAACTAATCTTTAAAACATGAAAATACAGTGGCATGTCAAATGAGTTTAAGACACATTTCTGGAGCACATAAAATTTGCCAGTGCCATGGTAGATGCACATAAGTCCAAAAATTACAAAATAAGTATGACTGCTAATTTACAGCCTATATATTTCCTATTTCCTGTAATTCAGCAAAACTATCACTTCACGCACCTGTATAGAATTTGTTAGAAAGTTCTAAGAACTGTTTTGTTTCACAAACATTTAGGACTTATACCCCACTGATGAATGAACATAATGCTCTGTCTGATATAGCATACAATGTAAATATTAAAAAAAAAAAGCGCACCTGCCGATTTGTTCAGCAAGGCACACTGCACATCTCTTAGTCTCCTGTGATGAATTTTCACTGCCCATGTAGCAAGTAACAAACAAGCGTCCACATAATTCTTGTGGCTTTGTCGGCACGTATTCCCCATCACAGACAATTCGACGCACATCTGACAAAACCTTAGAATCTAGAAAGAAACATTTAAATATACTAGTTTTAAGGAATATATCCTGTTACAAGTTCACAGTTAGGCTGACAGTCCACATATACAATAAGTTTTATGATTACAGCCCCAATGTTTATTGAAGTCCACTACATGTTTCGACATTAATAGGTCATCTTCAGGTGGTTGTCTTTAAGTGATCATAACTAATAGATATGAATGCTAAACTGTTTGCATATTTGAATCAGATAACATATGTATTTAAATATACATCTATCATATGAAGCAGCTAATTTGTGTGCAAACTGCATAACATACATTATACTAGGCGCATCCTCAAAGTAAGTTTCCCACTCGTCCCACAGCTAGCAAACCTTATATTGCGCGAAGCGACTGTGCGTACGTGATAGAGCAATGACGTAGCATGGCGCATGCACTAACGGCACCTCCCGCGTTCTCACAGTAGCATCGTTGCAGCTGTTGAAGATGGAGGTTCTTATTCCAGCCCCCGCCGACTGTGAAGTGCGGTCAGTGATAACGCTAGGCCGCACACGGCTCGACGGACAGCAAGTCTCCTGCAGGAGTTCAGCTGGGAGGTGTTTAATCATTCACCCTACAGCCCGGACCTCGCTCCCAGTGATTTCCATCTTTTCCTACACCTCAAGAAATTCCTGTCCGGTCAGCGTCAGCGTCAGCGTTTTGAGAATGAAAGAGAGGCGGAGATGGTTGTCACACAGTGGTTCCAATCCCAGGCGGCAGACTTCTACGACCCAGGTATTCAAAAGTTGGTCCCACGGTATGACCAATGTCTCAATTCCGGTGGCGAATATGTTGAAAAATAGCTGGACACTTGCTGTATCTGTTGCAATAAATATTTCCATGAAATTGTGTTTTGTTTCTGTAAACGGCCCCAGGGAAACTTACTTTGTGGACGAGCCTCGTATAAAAATTGCAAGACTCACTGAAATGCGTCTGGCAATATTCAACACCCCTATACACCAAATTAACACAGATGGTGAGACAAAGGATCACAACGCGAACATAAGATGCAGAGAAATGTTGAAGATTGAGAGACACTGAGATTCATCATCCACAGAAACCAAGAAAGACAGAAATTATTTGATGCCAAAATCAGTTGGAGCACATTCAGTTTCACATCGGCCAACTTAAAAAAGTGGCTAACATGAAAGGTTTTACTACATTTGGAGAAAATCACTTATGTTTTAGCATCTATAATTTCCTAATGTCCCTAATTAGTTCATATAATTATGTTATTACATGTGAAAGAACCCACAGACAAGGAAAACTTTGTGTAGCTTCCTACAGAAAGAATAATTCATTCACAGAAACATAAGATTGACTCACCTCCTGTCTGAATGGCATCTACAACCAGACGGCACATTGAGAACACAATGCTGGCAACACTAGAAGAGTCAACTCCTCCACTCAGTGGCAAGAAGAAACCACCTTGACCTGATCGTCTTAAAAAGGCACAATAAGAATTTAAAAATGTTAAAAGCATATAAAAATATTTGTATTTAAGGTTCATCATTCAGAACAAAAAATTAAACATCTTGAACTGGGCCAAATAAATACAATCCATCTTATATCTTACTATATTTATTTGAATACTACACTGCCCACAACAAGACAAGCACATATTGTTTTGAAACGTGTACAGTCATTGATAAAACTAAAAGAAACGATTTTTGATTAAGAATTTTCTGCTCAGTACATCTGATGAGTTTCCTATCAGGAATAAAGTTGCATGTATTCTGAGAAGGCAGGCTTATTTACAATATTACCAATATGGCATTCTTTTTTACATACCGCCGTTAAGTTAAATAAGACATCACAAATTTATAAATAATACAATCCTGGATACAGGCTCTGGTGGAAAACAGAACGCATTGTTTCCATAACTTACCATCTTAATATTAATTATACTAATGCAACAAATTCATTGTTATCTGTAGCTTTAAAATTAAGATTAAAATACAGAAAATCTTGGCAAACCAAAGACTGTGCTACCTGAGGTAATCCCACAGCCAGCATGCTGGTCCTAGAGCGATCTCCTCTTCAGGAGAGTGGTAAATCCATTCAATCGGTTCACATGTAGGTAACCCAATACCCTTCTCAACTGAAAGAGCAATATCAGCTTGGATTCGGGGATAGGCAGGTGAAGCAGCTGCAAGGTGCGAGCGAGAACGGATAGCATTTCGATATGCACGGATGTCTTCCAAATCCACCGTTGCCACCACAACTTCCTGTGTATCATCAGTTCATTAATTAAATTGTGTGGAATGAAATAACACTGACCTCTTGAGACAGAAAATTAAAATATTAAAGAACAGTTGGTTGGACAGTCAGTTTTCAAACTGAGTGAGCAAGAATCAATCAATCACTCATAACCTATCATTTCAATTGAAAATATTATTAAAATATTAACTAAAAAGATTGCGGGTTTAAGTCTTAATAACATGCATTCCAAAACAGGGAGTATTAACATTACCAAAGTTTTAAAGATATACTTAGACACAAACTTCAAAAAAATTAATACACGCTTCAAGGAATACAAAATTATTACGTGGCAACCAACAAGTGAAGTGTGTTTCACTCTGGTTTGTACAAACTATGACAGCTGTTCAATAAAGACAGAGAATGATTTTTTTTAAAACCTACCTCTTTTATTCTAAATTACTACAAATGCATTCCTTTTCAAGCCACTTTTGGACATCTTTAAAATTTGCCTCCACAGCTCTGACTGCAGCATCTATTGTCTAAGAGTACTGTCCTCAAAGCTGCCATTTCAGTGCAGGGAACCAAATGGAAAAAGTCAAGAGGTGCTAGATCTGGGCTGTAGGGAGGGTAGGGGATACAATGAATGCCTTTATTTGTCAAAAAATGAATGGCAGTGTTTACAACATGTGGCCTGGCATTGTCATGACAAAGAATCCAATGTCCAGCAAGCTCCAGTAGTTTTCTTTTGATGTGGTCCATGAGGGTTTCGAGAACTGAACAGTAGGAAGCTCCACTTATAGTTATTTTATTTGGCACTGCGTGTGTAAATCATTCATTCTGAGTTTAATTTCAATCAATATAAATCACAACAGATGTGTGGCTACAGAGGTGAGATAGGCATAGCTTGTAATCAAGATCACAGCACAAACACAACTAAACATGCAGTGACTAACTGCAGACTCTCACTTATGACATTAGAATGCTACGATACAATTAATAATTACCACTTCTTGTAGCCGGTACTGTTGGCTACGATTCACAATACCACCATTGAGAGCAATACAGGAACAACCGTTGAAATAAACGCGCTGGCCATCACAACCTCGGAGATTACTGAATAAATAACAACCTCCAGACTGCAAGACAAATTATGCACATGAATATAAAACAAAATAATAAAGAAACATGCAAATGAATAAATAACTGTTAAGTTTAACACACATACAGAAATATGTAAAACAGAATTACAATTTTCTACAATGCAAACTGCATCAGCAAATAAATGTACCAGAAAATACTCTCTTCATAAGTTTGCAAAATAATGTTTAACAGAATATTTTCTTATATAACAGTTTCCATAAAATCAATAATTCAGAAATTAAAATTACAAAAACATTATTTACCCAATTCAAAAATTAATTTTGAACTTGTTCATTCACCTTAGTATCATAATCATTTTCAGATATTGAAGTTCACACAACCAATAGGTAGATTTTTATAAAATTCTGCATGTACATTATTCCACTGGTGGCTACTGAAATGCATGACTGGTATATTGTTAAAGTGCATTTGCATCCAGCATAATTAAGGCAATCAGTATTATTTGCTTTTCATGTTATTAACTTCTGACAAGGCTTGTCCAATCTGCAAGTATCACTTGTCCCTTTATTGAAAAAGGCTACTCTGCGTTATGTCCGATAACTATTTATACATATTCGGATATTACAAATTACTTTCAATAGGTTCTCTTTATACATTTTATGGCAGACCTATTCACCTTAAGTGTAGCTGACTTGACAAGTTCTACAGTCACGTAAGCTTTCCGGAGCTCCATGTATGAGCCTGAACCATTGACTATCAGCTCCACACCATCCAGTCCCATTGCAATGTGTGAACTAAACAAAAACAAAGTAGAATAGAGTTACAAGATCAGCAGCTTCACTCATAAAGCTGATCTACATCTTGACACCCTGTGCTCTGTCCATTACCAGAGGTGTATTTAACGTACACTTCAGAAGCTGATCTACTCTTCACCATGAGATTGTCATTACAGTGACAGAAATATTAACTGAAGATATCAGTAGTGGCAAACAGGTTCACCCTGGAACCTTATGAACATTAATATTATAAATAATTCATGGAAATCACGTCATATTGAGGTATCAAGAAACTAGCATTGAAACTATAATTTACTGAATACTGGGTCTTTTAAATGTATATTACCCATGTAATTATGCTGTGAAACTTTATGTATCATCGAAGATTTTATAAATTAAAATCAGGATGTTTCAGAAATTGACTCTACCTTCACCTTCTGTGGACAAAAACCTTTATGCCACTGTGTCCCAAGGTCAAGCTAGTTACAACCTTGACTTTTCATATTAACTTTCTATCCTTGGCCTCTTAATCCAGGAATAAATCTCCAACCCAAAACTATCTGCTTAACCGAAGAGCCCAGGAGTTAAGACATTTTGTGTCTTATGGAAAACAAAGGTCAATTACCATGTTCAGAAGAGATTGCCATAGGTCCTTATTCCAAGACAGGTTAATAATAGAATCCATACATTCCCACCCCCATTTCTTTAATATACATTTCAATATTTTGTCTGATCTAGATAGAACTAAGTTCCAAAATATTGTGATGTAATTTAAGAAACCTTATATAATAGATAAAATCACTGAGAATAACTGTAGACCATCAGAAATCTTTAAACTTTGGATATATTACTAAATATTGTATAACCTTGTCCAAAGTGGATTTCCCCATATACACATAGGTATATATGAACAATAAGTTTCCAAATGCAGAAAATTCAAATACATGTATATGCAGTCTGCAAAACATATTTTAGTTACATACACCCCAACAACTAAACACTCACATTTCAGATATTTATCATCATGATCATCAAGACCATTCATCATCATTCATAGGTATTCACATTTCAGATATTTATCATCATGATTATCAAGACCATTCGTCATCATTCATAGGTACGTTATTAAAATAAATACAATGTTAAACAAATGTTTATTCAACACATGCAAAAATCATAATATTTATTATATTATGTTTTTATTCTTAATATGTTTTTATACAGTATATGATCATAATATTTATTATATTATGTTTTTGTTCTTAGTATGTTTTTATACAGTATATTTAAGGCTGTTTTGTCCAGCATGGTTTTACCTAATAGACCTAAACCCCCTTTTGGACAAGGGTTTAATGTATACTGACCACACCTTTGTGGATTCCAGAGTTCTTCACAGATTTCAAAACCAATGCAAGTGTCTCTTGTAGAAATAACACCATCACCAAATGGTACAACTGTCTGTCCAGTGTACGCTGAGATCATACGTGGCAAGTGATATTCCTCCAGTACCCGCTCCTACAGCAGTGTATCAATTAAAAAAGACACAAATTTTAAATCAGAGAAGTTATATTGACGCTATGGAAAATGTAAAATTCAGAAAGCATCTGTCCTGAATTAAATGTTACCTTTCTCCATGGCGAAAACCACCGACTCTCTCTGTAATTACCATCTTCACATACAATTAACTTGGGTCTGATCAAAAGTATCTTCCTGAAATAAAAATTTAAATAAATTATTAATCATAACACAGAGTCAGTTTCTCACATATTTCATTCACTGCTATTATCTTGTATACATGAAGAAGAGAACTGAGGATTGAAAGACTTACACTCACTGGATTCAACAAAATGTTACAAAACTGAATAACAAAGTGTTTCAGCTATAACTCAAAAAGCCCAAATTCCTACTGCACAGAATTTAGTTACACAATTTTTTTGCTGTTAATGTTATATTTAGACGATTTGAATTAATCTGATAGAAAAAACATAGGTACAAAAAACCTTCCTTTAGAAAATATGCACTTCAGAATTAAGTTTCTTCTCTACATGAACCTGAATTTCTCTTAAAATAAATAAATAAAAAAAACAATTTTCAGGGGGCATCCTTATATATTAAAAATTATGCTATTTTAGTGACTGGAGGAAGAAAATAAAATTCACTATATTTTTTTGCTGTTAAAATAAATTTTATCTAGCATTTTTATGCTTCAGTAAATAATCTGCTGACAACAGAATTCACCTGAATCGAAGAACTGTTATCACTCTGTGGTGATAATGCAATGATCCAATTCAAACGCATACAGGAGTTCACCACTTTGGCCATACATGCAGTAAATCTGATCTAAGCCTAAAGGTTAGACTGGAAATAAAGAACTTCACCTGTTATGAAACACAACTCGGCAATTGTAAGTGACATTCTTGTGCATGACAGGCATTCCTACATCAACTAACATGTCCTTACAAAGTGGACTAATAACGAGTTCCAGTAACACTTCCCAGCAATGCAAGAGAGTATCACTTTCGTAAAAATGGTCTTCACAGCTGTAGCCACTGCAACATTCATAAAACAATCACTGACGCACTGGACATTTCAAAAGTAACAATGTCATACATTATGCTAATATATTCCAAACAACTATGAATTTTGTACTGCAGTTTTCTAAGTTGAGATATATAATGAATGGAATCTGATGTTATTGTAAAACTTGTCAGCACCTACAAGCCACAGATAAAACATGAGAAGCCAAATGACAGTAGGATACGATGTGGTTCCATGTGTAGGATTCTTCTGTTGAAATGCAAATGATATAGCCTACATTATCATTTATGGTTTATGTAATGATGCTATGAATAGCTCACATTATATACAGTCAATTAATACAATGATAAGCATGCAATGAATTTGGAAGTATGAGTGGAATAACGCAGTGTTAATAATTAACCATATTTCTAGTTCTGGACCACTACGAAAACTTGCTCCTGCTTCCCTGGCTTCCTGGATACTTTGGAGAATTCTGTGTAGATTTCCTTCAAAGTCAAGAGCCCACTGGTTCAACGTGCAAACCGCGACAGTCACTTTACGACCCATGGTACTAAAACACAATCACTGTAAGACAAGAAAAGAGAACAATTTATTTAAATGCCTGATTTTACAGTGTAAAAGAACTTTCTGTAGTAACTGATCTATTACAAATTAAAATTGTTATTCCATGTCATATCACAGTCCACAATCTAAGGTTTGTATGGAATATGGGAAGTGTTCAAATTTTATAGAGACAAGTCTTTCTACCAAATTTTGGCTCCTTTACATCATAATCTGATCACTTCATCCTTTACAGTTAATATTTTCCAAAGCATTTTATTTTCAAACACCTGTAATTTGTTCTTTAAAATAAGAAAACATGTTTTACAATGTTATAAAACAACCGATAAAATTACTGTTTTGTATATCATTAAAGTCAGAGTTCTGGAACTGAAAAAAAAAACACGTATTTCCGAAATTTATTCTGCTCCTATTTTCACCACAAATATTGTTTCCATTAGTTAGCAATGTTCCCTGCCAATTAAATTTTGAAACATTAATCATATATTATTAAGTTAGGTTGGGTGAGGTTAATGAAGTGCATGCAAAAATGGTCTGGTTATGCCAGCATATACACTTCGCGTCACGACTTCGAGCATCAGTTGTCGTGGTTTACAGAGTGCAGAAAATTGGGAATATTAATTTACACAAACAAACGGCATAATGTCCATATCAAATCTGATTGAAAACATCCAACACGTTACCGAATTATTAAATGACGGCAAACCGAATATAATATGTGAGGTTAGTTTTGTCAGGTTACGTTAGGTTATTTTGTAGGTAATCATTCTGTTGTGCTTCGTTCAACTACCGTCAAGCAAATATCTTCTGCAAATCATCAACAACGCATTTTGTGTAAGCAGGTAATATAGATATTCCTGCGATTTCGAAGCTGACATGGAAACTTACATATACCATTTTAGCCAAGAGCAATTTTTGTTCATATTGTAGTTACCATAACAACACGTGCACATTAAGACATGTAAATAATCGAACTGCGTATTTATGTGGTTTCATTTTGGGGCACATATCATTGAAGAGTTCTGGAATATACTAAATGGTGTCAACAAACCCTATATATTTTCATCTTTAATCATTAACTTACGTGCAAGGTTAATTGGCACCTATCGTAATACAAACTGTATATATCGATGTTCATTTGTTGGAAACTTAAACGTCACAACCGTACCTTTCTGCCTTCCTGTCATGTACGGAAACTAGAAAGCAGCGCTCCTGTGGGGTCATTTATTAACAACTGCTCTAAAACACACCTTCCCCACCCCCCGCGCTAATTTGAATAGTTCACTTCTTTATAATTCCTAATTATTAGTGTGTTGCATCAACAAACAGATACAGTACAAGAACAAAGCCGGTCGCAGTGGACACGGTCTGAGGCATAGACCTCGTGCACTTGGACCGTGGGTTCGAATCCCACTCAAGGCATGGATATTTGTCTGTGCTGTGTAGGTAGAGGCCTTGTGACGGGCTGATCACTCGTCCAAGAAGTCCTACCAAATGTCTAGTAGGATTAAATGAATGAATGAGTACCTCGACACCTGCGGGTAAAAGAGTATAAAGACAAAAAAACAACAAAAATAAAATTATCAAGAAACTACACTAGCTTGACAAAAGTTAATACACTAGGCAACTAACAACCAGCAAAGAAAATTACTCCAAAATACACTGCAGTGAACCAGTCATTTACTAAATATATCAGCATCTTTGCAATAGTAATTAAATGAAGATCAACTAAAAATGAGAAAAAATGTGCAAAACAAATAGAAACAAAGAACAATTTGTGTCATATGGGTAATAATAGTTCCAATGACACAAGACAATGTTACAAGTAAGAGGTGATAAATATAACTAAGGGAAATCATTTTTGTATTAACTGTATCAATATGGTAGTGGGTGAAATATGAGGATAGGTATTTTCACATTAATTACTTGAAATATTTACAAAGTACTGTCAATTTATAGTTTCACATCCAAACCACATGACAAACACACTCAAGACAAAAGCTAATCTAACATCCACATGCAAAAAATCTTCATATATGAATTCAGAGTACATTTTTCTTCAGTTCTCTTATTATGTAAGCCTAGTTCTTGTGGTATTTAATCAATCTAAAAGCACTCCACTGAATCGTCCCTGGACACTGCATTTTTATTGATACATGAATTTCCTCTCTTAAAACACTTTTTAATATACATGTAAACTGTAACACCAGGATTACAAAGTACTACAGACCACAATAACCATGTTTCATATTTGAAAGGTGCATATTTTTAATATATTTCCTGTATCTCAATAACTGTTATCCTGTGAATTCCATTACACAAATTTACAATAAAAATAAGGTTACAAATGGTAAAATGGTGTCCAATTCCTACTCAGTCATGCAGGAGTGCCAACTGCAGGAGAGTCATTACAGCAACTGAAGACAAATCTGCCAACACAACCTGTAAAAAGAGAAACCACACCATTCAGGAAAATTTACAAGTTCCTTTTGAAAATGTTTCAGTACCAAGTGAAATAAGTAAAATAAGTTTTGGAGACAGGTTTTACACAAACACAAGCTTAATACTGCCTGTGTTACGTTTTATAGTAAAGAATATGTTATTTAATTAACGATATTAAATAACACTTTTCAGTTGTATTAGACATAACTTATATTCAACTAAGAATATAAAGACTAAAGATTAAATCTTTGTTTCAGTGCAAAAAGTGAAACTGTAAAAATAAACACAAAGCACACAGACTGTGATTCACCATTAAAATGATCTCAGTCAAACCTGTACCAGCTGAAAATCTATCTAATCACAACTCTGTTTATTTTATTGCCTCCAGTTTCATGAGAAATAAGGTCTCCTTCTTCTGACATTTTGACTACTACCCTCTAAATAACAATGAAATATGAACGCAATGGTATTAATATGGAATACCTATAAGTCGGACCCACCTCGACACTAGACAATGTATCCACCAATAGCAGATTGTCCTTACGAAAGCTGAGGATTGAAACTGCAAGAAGAGGAAGGATCTCAAGTGAATCATATGCCAGAATCATATCCCAGAGGTACAGCAGTTGCTCTGGAGGAAGATGTCCACTGAAGGCACGCATCAACCACTTGAACACCACACGTACACTAAAACAAATGTGGCAATCAGTAAAGAATATCTGTAAAAAAAAAAATTGACAGTGGAACAACAGTTCCGGAGAATATGACGTAAATACGCAAACGCAGCAGTAGCATGAAGTGCGATGCGCCTCTATTTATATAAATAAATGTTTGTAGAACCTAAACCATTTGTGATATGTAAAATCTGAAAACAGATATGGAAAGCTCAAGAGGTAATACGTATTTCGTACGCAATATGTCCCAATCCATCTCTTACGGTTTTCGAGAGGCGGGCGCTTAACGCGCCAGATGAATTGAAAATTGTACACATTGGTTCATTAAAATTACAATAAATGTATAAACAATTATAATTACAATAAAATACATTACAGATTCTTAAAGGTCCTTATTTACTGATCATTTTAGGTAAGGTTACATTACCCTTACTCTTACCATTCCTGAGGAATGAACGTTTAAAGGTGACTCGGCGCTGGATCTTGCACATCTTCGTAACGCTGTTTTTACCGAATGACCCTTCCGTATACACGTATTTACATCAAAATATATATCAATTTTGCATGTAATGAAATTATGTAAATTCATAACATGGAAAAAAGAATGTGTAGTAACATAGAAACATGGAGACCTCTGCTATTTCGGTCAAGTTTCAAGATTTATTTAACAGATAAAGACAAATTTCATAAATATTTATTACACATGTCGATCAATTTCAAACAAGCTGGGCCCCTGCAGTGAATCTGTAACTTATAATTCGACAGGAATTATTACATTTATAAACATCATGACCAGTTTCTTTTTCTTCTTCTTCTTCTCTCTCTCAAGTACTTACGGTTGTATGTTGATGTGTTTGAAATGGAACCATAGTTGTGGCTCATGACGCTGCAGTAACCGCTCAAACAGGAGACAAAGACACAGAAGACCTTGCTCATGAGAAGAAACTTCATGGAGACGAAACCAGTATCGCAGATAGAATGCTCTAAACGTGTGGTACAGCGCAACTGGATTATCATAGAGATAGCAAAAAGGGGCAGCTGCAAAACAATTCACATCATTAATATTTCCATGGTCTATCATAGCATAGGAAATCCATGATCTGTATGTAAAGTTCCACTCAACGCAGAAGCTGGCATTTGGTGCACCTTCAGTGTGAACAGAAGCAATGATTGTGTTTACGCAGAAACAATTAATTTTGAATGAGATGTGAGACTGATGCTGCAGCCATTTTTCAGACTCCTGACAGATGAAATAAAATCCCTACGGACATTTCCAACAGAATTCCGCAAGTGCATATACCGCCAAGCATTACATGAAAACATTAAGAGTGTTTGGTGAAAGGATTATAAATAATGTTTTATGGCTACCTTGTTCATTCAAAGCTCACATACATGAGAAATTACTCAGATATTTAAACTTACCGTACATTGTGAACCCATGGAAGGGAATTATTCCACTGGGAGGAAATACTACAGTATTTTCCACAGTAGCAGGTTTGTTCTTGAGCACAGCATGCACAGGGTTGCCAGCACTGTGATTGAACAGTGAAAGAACCTCTGTATCTCGAGAGAAGCACAGCATAACCTGATTAACAAACCAATATTTTACGTTGCAAAGCAAACGAATTGTAAATCAAAACCACAATTTAGAGACAGGGTGACTGATTTACCACTGTTTAGTCTAATTCTATGGGTTATTTCACCTGAATAGAAAAGTATAAATCTCAAGAAATAAGAAATCACTTACCTGATATAAAACATCTTCAAACACGAAGTACTGGTCATCATTGGAGGCTGTCAGATGAACATCCTAAAGTAGAAAATAGATGCAATGAGTAGCAGTGACAAACTTTCAGATGCCAGAGCTTAACAAAGCTTATTCACTAAAAACTACAAAACTGGTGTGACGTGTGCCAAGAGACTAAAGTCTGTACTTCATGAACTTGTGACTATTTAAACTCAGACACATGACAGGAAAATTCATCCTCCAAAATGAAGTGACTTTTATAATTAATAACCTTTAGACTTTCTAAAACCATGGATAAAGTCCAAAGCAAAGAAAGCAGTAATATAAAATCACCAAAGATATTCAGAAAGAACTATTACAGAATAGTTTATTTTTGAAGGCATATTAATAATATTCTCACTCTAAAAACATTTCCAATTATATTTTAATAAGCACTATCATAGTTTTAGTTTAACATCCAATATTCATTTCTAAACAGTCATCACTGAAATAAAATTCAAAGGGATTTTTGTGTAGTCTCACTTCTGATATTAAGTCCTTACTAAGACAGTACCGCAGAGTAGACAAAAGATCATTCACAAGACCCTTGCTGCCTTACATGACTCCACAATTAATATGACTTATGATATTATTAGTATGGAAAAGCTATTTTTAAACAGGGAACCTTCTTAAAATTGTGCTATAAAAGATATTCGGGAAAAGATTTTCACTTCCCCCATGTAAAATATATTTCATGCAGTATTTAAACCTTGCTTCAAACCTTAAGTATAAGTTTGTCCACCATGAGATCATATTGAAGCACTTGTTCTTTTAAACTATTGAAGTATTCTACATGCTCTGGATGGATACATGAACCCATGATCTGAGCCCAGATGCGTCCCCGCAAACTTCGTGGACACCCCCGTTTCAAGAATTCCTGTGCAACTGGTGCATGACTTGAAGCCAGAACTGAAATTATACATCCACACACCTTCATCAACTAAATAATATTTACCGAATTATGATGACTGAATTTAACACAAGACTGTAAATACAGCATAAGTGTCTTGCCTATTCACCGAGTTAATATGTCGGTGGAGATTACACACATAACAAACGTGACATGGATATCACTACAATTTCAAGTTACACCCTTATATACTCTGAATGATCAACATCTCTGAAATGCACAAGTGTAATCGATAATAATGATCAACAACTATTTCTTTTCAGACCATGTCTGTCTGGGTTGCAATATCGTGTAGTCTTGCTGGTGAATATGAACTCCTCGGAGGAAAATACTGTCTGCATGTTTAACACTGAAGATGGAGACAATATACTGATCCAAAACGTTTGCAACCATACGAGGTGCGATCAGAAAGTTTCAAGACTGCACGTATAAAAACCCGTACACTTATCTCAGATATTAAATTCATCCATCACCCTCAAAGTAGTTCCCCTGGGAGTGAACACAACGATCCCAGCACCGCTGCCAAGCCTGGAAGCATCCCTGGAAATCTTTCTTTGTCAGCCTGTCAAGCACCATTTGCGATTCTGCCTGAATCTCTTCTATCGTCTCAAATCTCCTTCCCTTTAGCTGAATTTTCATCTTTGGGAAGAGGAAGAAGTCACACGGAGCTTAGAAAGGAAGTTGCGGTCGGTTCTTGCAAGATCTTTGAGCTCCTGACAAACGAGAAGGCGATTCTGCTTCTGGTCCTCAGACAGGAGCCTTGCGTCGCATGTGGAGTTCTTCCTTTAGAATCAGCTGACAGGCCCCATAGCCTATCCCAACAATGTCGCACAAGTCGTACAAGTGATGGTACGACGTCGATCTTCGTAACAGTTTCGGGCGTTGTGCTCGAAGATGGTCGGCCAGAACGCTTTGTTCATGAAAATCCGCCATTCCGAAATCGCAGGAGGGTCGGTGTAATGCACTACCAAAACGCCCGTAACTAAGAAACAAATGCTAATTCGATGATGCCGGCTGGCACACTGATTCACTATGAATGTAGGCCGCACCCCCTAGCGGCAGAAGCTCGTACTACATCCGGTTCGCCCTCTATTGACACAGTCTTGAAACTTTCTGATCGCACCTCGTACACAGACCTACATGGTCACTGCATTCATATGACACAAATCCATTTTCAGTAATTTAATTAACTGGACACTGCTGTTTCCCCTTTTGTTGATTTGTTTTAATCTGAAATCGTCATTGAAATGACGTTAGAAAAACTACAACATGATTTACATACCACCTATAAACTGCACTATGGATTGGTGTACAGTCAAAATCAATATTGCATGCTATATTTCATGATCAGAATTGAGTGCATTACCTTTCTCACCAAGAACAGAGCGTTCAGCTTCCAAAGTAGGATGGCTCCCAACAGCTGATGGCATGTGAGGGTTCACTCCAAGTAATGGTTCTCCACGAGACAGTTCCACATAAAGACAACGCTGAAACCAACACTGTTATTTCTGAACAATTTCGTAAGTTATGACAAACAAACAAGCATATTACAGAAGCTATATAAGAACCTGCCACGTTAATGAGTACCTGTATTATTAATACTTAGAACACAATCAGAACCAATTACATGCATATAAGAGGTGGTTAATATTTTTCAATTTTCCACATTTTTTCAGTGCTTCTAACATTACTTTTGAGATTCACTAAAATTTCTTTACTTTAAAAATACAACTTGATTTTTCAAACATCTACTGTGACAGACGTAGAGATCGGTTTCCACACATCCACTATTAGTCTTAAAGCTGAAATGGATAAAAGTTTTAGCTTGACAGTAACTCCAAGAATTTTACATGATTCCATGAATTACAATATTCAATGTGTCATAATTTAACCAGTTTATGTGCATGAGGTTTCCCTGGCAAAATTCCATACATACCAAACATTTTTATCTCAAAGGAAGGCTCTTTCAACAGGTTAGTCTTAGTTTAACTACTAATTACTGTAAACTGAAATTGTACGTACAGCTCTCTGTAGCTTTACTGGTAAACTATTTCTAGTGTTGTCTTAGCAATTATACTGACATTTACCATGCAAACATTGTAGAATCACAGGAAAATCCCTCTGTATAGAAGTGAGGTTAGGGAAGAACCAAACCCTCACTAATGAGCTATCAGGATAATCTTTTTTGATGTTCTAGGTTATGATAACAACGAAGTCTAAAAAACTGCAGGTCATCATAATGCAGACTACAATCTGAAGGCATTAACCAATTCTTACAACAGAGAAACCTACTGTATAATCTAGAGTTCACCCAGTTGTGCAAAAAGAAAGGCCTCATTCAAATTGTCTTCTTATCTTGGCTGAGTTAGCCTGTAATTTTTCTCCAGCCCATCTAAAAAAATGTTGGGAGAGCACCTTAAAACAAAATAACCCACTACATTAAAAATTGCATAAATATTGACAACTAACTCTATAAATTTCTCAGTTACAATCTGAGACATTACACAATAAAACAAGAATAAATCGACTCACCAACTCAGTTAATGTTTTCACTCGGAGTGGAATCTGAGTAAAATCCCAATCCCCTTCACCACTGCTTGCAATAATACAGATATAAAAATAGAAATTGCACAGTCAAGCAGTTCCATTCATTTCCAGCACTATTACAACTGACAATGTTCCATGAAATTATTTTACCAAATGGCACACAATAATTTAAAAAAAAAACCAATTGTTCGGTTCAAATTACATCTACATGCAACAATGACCTTTAATGGGATTTAAATCCATGCAATTGAAAGTGTAATTTAACAATGTAACAATCAGCCAATCATTATAAGTTGTCATAAACACATTTTGTTCTACTTAGCAGTTACACAAATATATCTAAAACGCATCCAAAGGATGGGGTTAGGCATTCATTAAACAAAAACAACATTCTTAAATTTGGGAAGAATAAATTTAATCAAAATTTATTCCTTCATTGCACTTATTAAATGCAGACAGACATAGAAAAGTTAGTATAAGCTTAAGAGCTGTTCTGAAACAGGTCTAAAACTTACCACTACACAAAACACAAGCACAATGACACTTGTAGTCAAATATACTTACTACATGCTACGGTAGTTGGGGCTACGAATGCACAGAAGAACTTCTAGAAAATCCTTTGGGGCATATACTGGTCGATACTGACTAAGGTCTGGAAATTAAAAAAACAACAAAAACAAGTACTGACCTTTTAAAATGTGAGATTTAATCAAGGCTGCTAAAAGGGCATCTGGATTAAAAGCATAAAATTAAAAATAAATTTTATTTACCACATTTAATAAGCTACAAGCACAAGCTAAAAACATGATGCATCAGAACCCAAGTTGCAGAACCATCTCTTGTCTGCTGCCCACTATTGCATTTCCAAAATATTCAAAGCACAGCACTGATTTCATTACTCAAAATCCACCCTGCATATATAGATATAGTCATGAAAGGTCATTATAATCTATTAACTCTTGTGATAATAAATTATTATGATCAACAGCTACTTACAAAACAAACAGTGCAGTTGGCACATTCAGAATAATACAAAATTCATACTAACAGGTACTGACTCACCAACATCATATGTGCTCAGTTCAGTCCATTTCTCTTCCAAATCATCTTTTTCTGATGCCAAACGGAAGCGAGCCAAAGGCACTCCAATTTCATTACACATCGAGTTAAGAGACTTATGTATTCTCTTCTCCCATTGCATCTGTCAACATTTAGATAAATAAACACAAAATGCACATGCATGTCATACCTTGGTTCATCATTAATAGTTTTCTTCAACATGCGTTACGTTTTGTTTTCATACACCTGCATTCTTATAGATAAAGGATTTTTATCTAGATATATATTTATGGCCATGTAGAGCCTTGTACCCCTTTTAGTGAGACAAAATTTGGTGTGTGCTATTATGCATCCATTAAAAATTAGGGTGTCACAGGTGACAAAAGGTTCAGGAACTGGATATAGACAGACTTCCCAGTCCTATGGATGTGGGAAACAGGATAGATTTTGACAGGAGCCAATTTTAGTGCTAACATTAAATGTATCATGTATCTCATGCATTGTACCCTTTCTATATTATTTCACTGTCATTGAACCTTCTCTTTGGTGTTGCATTTTAAGCATTTGCTTAAGGACCTTATAAAGAAGAATAACTAGTAGTTACTCTTGCAGCTAACCTATTACTTCCATAAATAGGCCTTATAAAGAAGAACAAAAACAATAGTTACTTATAGAGCAAACCTGTGCCTTCCGTAAATATGCAAGTGGTTCCTTGATTGAGGAGCCATTAATGCTGTCATAATTATTGTGTGATCGCACCCAATGAAATACCGTATTCCTTAGTTGTGTTTCAATTCCAGCTTGTTTAATTGCTTGAAGGAGGGTCTCCTTGAATTCATACTTATTCACACAAGTAGACGACACAATTTTCTATGGACCAAATCAAACGTTAATATTCATTACAGTGTGTATGAATATTAAAAAATGTACAATAAAAACGCTAAAATTTTTAAGATATTGTAACATAAATAAAGTCATATCTAGTCTACTTAGTCTGTCTGACTGTCCTTCATTAGTATATTCATTTTATTTCAGACTCACCTGAATTCCTGAATAAAATTTCATATACGCGGGCATATTTTTTATTTCTTCCGTAAGTTTCTGAGCAGTAAAATGAATACTTTTGTCCTTCATATCATCCATGATAATGTGGGTAAAGCAAAATCACCATATAAAATTGATCATGAAAGATAGGGCAGCTACATAAAATATTAAGCCGAATAATTCAAAGATGTCGCGTCTGTTTTGTCAGCTTTCTTATGCAAGTTGCATTCATACGAGAATATCAGAGAAGGAAAAGAACTAAATCTCAATCACAGATTAATAACGTGGTATTGTAAACAGTATCGAAGATACTACGTCGTTCCATTAACGAACGTCAGAAATAAAGCTACGTAAATCAGTTATTGCGTTCAGCTGACGAGTTTGTTATGTTGACTTAATGGTATTGCAACGAAAACAGATCATAAAGAAAGCAAGGAAGGTGTAAATTATTTGGTAGCACCCATCAGAACGACACCGATAACAAGAATCATGACTTAAAGGGAATCGTTGAGTCTGGTAAACTTTAAAACAACGTTACCAACACGTAAGATGTATTTTTGATCATTCCACCATTTTGATATTTGGCGGTTTCGTTGATTTACATAAGTGAGCATAATATTTATTCTGTAAGAAAATCTGTGAATTCTGTGTGTGCTTTTATCATGTGAGTACAAGATCGACGCAATTTTATAATATAGTTTGCAATAACATTGTCATCATTTGTATTGGAAATAATTCCAGCTAACCTCAAACCGCCATGGAAGAAAATGATGCATTGATGCCTTACTTGGCGTCTCTCGTAGAAGTTTCAATAGTAGAGGATTCTTCGTCGACGTTGACATTTTCTGAATTCGGAGGTAAAAATTGTCTGTTGACATCTTAAAACTATTATACTGTCATTGTTTAAGAAAATATGTTTATATCGCAATTTTGAAACTTTTGTTAGACTGAAGAAAAAGCTATGGACCTGAAGAAAACAACACCGTGAATATAAGTGATGTAGCTCTTTCAGATGCAGAATTATTTTCAAAACCAACTAAGATGTACCTTGCCTCCATATTGATAAACAGGGTGAAGTGCAGTGTGAGTTTACTTGTTTATGTAATTTTCACATGGAAGTGTAAAGAGAGTCATTAAAACAATTGTTTTAAAATTTTAAAGAATTAAGCATTAAAAGTATTGTAAATTGAAAATTCTGCATGCTGCTTGTTCTTTTAGTTGCAGCACAGCAAGATTCAAAATCTTCTCTAAAGGCAAATTCATCATATGTTGGTAAACAAGATGAATCCCAGGGTAAGTTTCTTTATATTTGTCAGGTCTGATTGAACTTTCAATAATCTATGAAGATGGCATATAGTTTTCCTTTAATATGTCTCAGTGTGTTTTGTATCATTTAGGAGGCTTTTAATCGCAAACAGAGTTGATCTGCTGAGTGTGAAGCTGAGTTAAAGAGAGACATGTGGATACCAAATATACATCTTGGCAGAAAATACCTTATGTTAGAGGGTGTGAATGAAACTAATATTGTCATTACCATTATTACAAGGATATTCTTTGAATACAGACACATCAAAGCACAGTAGATATGGGATGAATTCTACATGGCAAATGCATGGAATATATAAAACCTAATTATGACCTCAAAGATGTAGTGGTGTGTTTGGCACAGATACCATCACAGATGGTTTGAAACGGAGCTTTTACATACCAAACAAAAATTGCCTTTGTAATTTATGTGGTAGATCTTTCAGAAGGCACCACATTGTGATTTGTAAGCTAAGGGCTTAGTCATTGAGAGACTATGCTGAGAAGTTCTCTATCCATATAATTTTAGGTGCTTTTGTAATGGAACCACATTGCAAAAATTATATTTGTTTCAGACTTCGCGAGTCACGAGGTGTTAATTCTTGAAAGCCAGCCAGAAACAGACTTTTGTGAAGAGGAAAAACAGTATTTTGATTTGGTTTTTAATGGTAGGTGTTAATGTGTTCCTTTTTATATGTATTATTTTCTATTTCTGGTTATGAAGTTTGGCCTAAAGGTACAATTTGGCTGCACGCGACCGAGGCAGGCGACAGAGTTATTTCCAATAATTTTCTGTCCCATTGTAGATTTCTTGAAAATTGCACTATCACCTTCTTTGCCATACGCACCGACGTCCACCGCAATAAACTTGTAATTAGCATCCACGATGGCTAAAAGAACAATAGAAAAGAATGTTTTGTAGTTGAAAAAGATTGAGCCGCTGTTTGGAGGTGCTCTTAACCGAATATGTTTTCCATCCATGGCTCCAACGGTGTTTGGAAAATTCCATTTTATCCAAAATTCGTTCGAAATGCGTTGAAACTCTCCTTGCATAGGTTCAGGCATGAGTTGAGGTACCAACGTGTTTCTTAAACACCTAAGAACCTCCTTCACGATTGTTGAAATATGACACGCTGATATACGGTACGCAAACGATAGTGAAGCGTAACTTTCGCCAGTTGCCATAAATCTGAAAAGAAAGAAAGGAAGGGAAAAAATTGTCAATCACTCAATAAGTGATATCGTATACAAACAACACACACATACATACTCTCATACACTCATGCACGTACAAAAGAAAATGAGCGTATTTTCTCATTTCAGATGGAGACTGTAAAAAACGGTGGAAGTATATACGGGATTCATACAATCGATTTAAACGCAAAAGAAATATGTCAACCGGATCAGCTTCACCACCAAAAAATTCTAAGTGGGATTTTTTCAAGAGACTCCAATTCTTAGAACTGGTTTCAACAGAAAGACCTACTGCATCTAATGTTGATTCAGATTCAGCAGTCCCGTCAACTTCAAATTCACCGGCAAACGCACA